TAGTAGCACCAGTATCTACACAAGTATTTTAGGCACTTCAACAAGGTTCAATTCAGAGCAAACATAAATATGTTGCGTACCTTTCTTGTCGAACCAAGCCTTTCTTTTCGGACAATCTTTCTTGAAGTGTCCCACGTCCTGCAGAAGAAACACTTCTTTTCCTTATGGATCTGACTTTCGGGTCCTTTCATGAAAGCTTTATCCTTTGCCTTGCCATGCTTACTTGGTTTTCCTTTAGTGCTGCTAACGTTTCCAAAACCCACAAGATTGGCAACATGATCCTTCATTTTCTTAATTCTCCCTTCCTCCTGAACCAACATAGCCTTTAATTCCTTAAAGTTCCATTTATCTTTGATGGTGTTGTAATTCACCTGGAACTGGCTAAACTCAAAAGGTAGAGAGTTCATAATGAACTGGACCAAGAAATTCTCATGAACTTCCATTCCCAAGGTTGACAACCTTGCTGCCAAGTTAGACATGTGGGTCACATGATCATGAATTGGCTGAGACCAGTCAAACTTTTTCGTAGTAAGCTCATTCATGAGACTCCCTACAACCGACTTGTCAGCCAAATCTGATTGTGAACACTCTTTAATTTTCTGTATGAACTCCCTTGCTTTCTCTGTCTTAGGCATAGTTGGCTTAACACTTTCTGCCATTGTCATCCTCATGAGGTTCATACTCAGCCTGTTAGATCGCTCCCAAGTCTCGTAACGAGATTTTTCATTTTCGGAGCTCTCAACTGTAATGGCTGGAGGTTCCTCATCCGTTAGTATTGCAGAGTCCAAAGACATTACACCCAATGCAAAACGGATCTGTTCTGACCATTCACCATAATTCAGCCCATTGAACTTCACGACAGAGTTAGCAGATGCATACAAATTTGATGAAGCTGCAAACATTTAAACATGCTTACCTATTAGTGCTTTGATTCTTTTATACAGACTCTTAAGGCCTAGCTTAACTCTAAAGCATGAATTTAAATAACCTTTGGGCAATATTTAAACACATGCATATTTAATGATGCTAAATTTTTATACTTTTATAATCAATCAAATTACACATATAAATCAAATAAACATGTTACCTTTGGGTATACATATTACTGACTATATAAAAAATGATTAATTCTTTCATATTATTAACTATGTATTCAATGATCCACCTTTGGGTGATCTACAAAATATATAGATAATAAAATAATTGATCAATCAATCCTACATGTCATTTAGCATCTCTTTTTCTAATGTGTATGTGTAATATAACAAGGTCACTTTGGTGACTAACAAGTTATATACAATATAAACACTGAAAACTTTAATAGGTAAATTTATCTTTATATTATGTTAATATTTCATAACATAATTACCCAATTTTAATTTAATGCACAGCGGATGCAATTTAAAACTAAACCAGACATTTCACTTAATCAACCTAAACCAACAGTTTAAGCCATATTCTTTAACAATGAACGCTTTTATTCATATGCCATAAACGATCAATTCCCAGAACATGTATATGCAACTTTAACAATGATTCATTTATTAGAAACAGAATCTAATTAGAACAATTATTTCAATCATCAAATGCATTTACGTGAATGATCAAAACACCACTAACCATCAATTCTATGATTCCATCTACGACACTTACATGCACACACAATAATAAAAAAAAACTGTTCATTATTGCAACAGAATCTAACCATTGAATTTCAACCTTAATAATTCCACATGTTCCCAACAATAAAAGGTTACGATCATGGTGACGAACAAAAGTTACG